CGGCGGCCCCGGCCGGGGCCCGTGAGCATGGGCATCGCGGAGTCCACGCCGGATGAGCTGCCGTCGGACGCCGAGCAGCAGCTGCGCAGCGGCGAGCAGCAGCTGGAGCTGAGCGGGCGGCGGCTGCGGAGGCTGCCTGGCGCCGTGTGCGCGCTCGGCCGCCTGCAGAAGCTGTACGTGAGCGGCGCCGGGCTGCGCGAGCTGCCCGAGGAGATCGAGGAGCTGCGCGAGCTGCGCATCCTGGCGCTGGACTCCAACAAGCTGGAGCGCCTGCCCGACGGGCTGTGCCGCCTGCCGCGCCTCGCGCGCCTCTACCTGGGCGGCAACCGGCTGCGCGCGCTGCCCGCCGACTTCGCGCAGCTGCAGAGCCTGCGCTGCCTCTGGATCGAGGGCAACTTCTTGCGGCGCTTCCCGCGGCCGCTGCTGCGCCTCGTGGCGCTGCAGTCGCTGCAGATGGGCGACAACCGGCTGCGTGCGCTGCCCGCCGAGCTCCCGCGCATGACCGGCCTGCGCGGGCTCTGGCTCTACGGGAACCGCTTCGAGGAGTTCCCGCCCGCGCTGCTGCGCATGGGCCGCCTGCACATCCTCGACCTGGACCGCAATCGCCTGGGCGGCTTCCCCGACCTGCAACCCCTGCGCGCGCTGCGCGTCTTCTCCTACGACCACAACCCGGTCACGGGGCCCCCGCGTGTCGCCGACACGGTCTTCCTCGTGGGTGAGGGCGCTGTCGAGCGTATGGCTGAGCGGGACGAGCCCACGCCGAGGCTGCCTCCCCGCCGCCCCGCGCGCGCCTTCGAGGACGATGAGGAGGAGGAGCTGCTGATCGGTGGCGCAGGCACCCGGGCTCTGGGGAACCCCGCTGGCGGCCTCCGCGCCCTGGAGGCCCCACCAGGCCTCGGCACCTGAGGCTGGGCTGTGGGTGCCAGGCGAGGCCAGTGTGGAGGCAGAGAAGATCGGTAAAGAGAAACCAGTGGGGTGTGGGGTGGCCTGGGACCATCCTGAGGCCTCTGGATGGAAGTCTGTATCCCAGCAGAGGGGCCAGCTTCCTCCCTGGAACGGGCTCACTGCTCTTGCAGAGTGTCAAGTGTCGGGCTGCCAGTCGTCTGCACTCTCCTCCCGGCTCTGGCTCTCTGGCCCACTCTGGTTCCTGAGCAGTGCCTCCGGGGTGCACGGTGCAGGGCAGAGCTGCCTTGGGAGGCAGGGGAGGCCCAGGGCTGCGGAGGGAGCAGAGCTGGCCGGAGAAGCTGCGCTGACCCTCCACCAGGCCCGGCTGCACACCTCCCCCCTGGGCTCCCTGGGTCTCGGGCTCCCCCCCACTTCCATTCTGGACTCTTGTCCCAGCATGCGCTCGGCATTTTGCATCCGAGAGCTCTCCCTCTTCCTCACAGCCCAGCCTGCAGCTGTCAAGCTTGAAAAGAGCCACTGTGCCTGCTGGGCGTCCTGCACGGAGGAGGGCTCCACTCTCTGGAGGCCTCGGGGCCTCTCCAACTGCCTGACTCTCCATTCCCTTACATGGGCACAGCTGGGCTGGCTGGCACCAGTAGGGCACGGCTGGGCCCTGTGTGGTTCACGCTGTCACCAGGGACTGCCTCAGGGGAGTGCGGAGACAGCTCTGCTGTCCGTTGCCAGACCTTTCCCACCCCAGCACTCAGGGGAGGAGGGGTTGGGTGGAGGATACTCAGGGATGCTGTGTGCAGAGCCCCTTGGGTAGTATTTTCTTTAGGAAGAAAAATGTACTTGTCAATTATATTTCTTGGAGAAAGGTCATGCGTCTCCTACATGCCTGTTTTGTATAAGCTCAGGAGCCAAAGGTGTACTGCTGTGGTGGCCCCTGCCCTGCCCGGCTGTCCCAGCTCTGTGTCTGGCTGGCTCTGGCCCACAGACCTGGCCGCCACAGCCTCTGCCCAATGTGTTGGTCTCTGCCTCCTTGCTCCAGGCTGCCCTGTCTCACAGTTCAGCTGTCTGATCTTAGCCTGACTCTTTGCCGAAGGCCTGGGTGTTTCTGCATCTCCTAAGGCTGGGTTGAGCTTTCTGTGTCCCCTGTGGACACCACCCTGTGCCCCTGGGGACTACACTGTCTCCCTCCACATGTGCTCATGCCCCCTTCTCTCTCTTTAAATCTTTTGGCAGCTCAGCCTTGCCTTCTCCCCTCTCTCAGGGGAAAAAAAGATCTAAAGAAGGGAAGAAAATACAAAGCCTCCAACTAGAGGTCTGTCTCCCATGAGAAGGTCCTCAGGCCTCTGTCCCCATGGCAACCAGAGCTGATGTTATGTGGGCCCAAAAGGTCAGGCTCTGCCCAGTGCTTGGCTGGCATGAGGGACTGGGCCCTGGGAAGGTGGGGGCTGGGCACAGGTCTGGAGCAGCCTGCTTCTTTCCAAGCAGGGGACCAGGGTTTGGCCGTAGCCCTGGTCCCCACTGAAGGTCTTGGGACCTGGGTATTTTGGGCAAGGAATTCAGGAAGCCCCGAGACCACTTAGGTAGGATGGGAGCTGTGGCTGGCTAGCACTACCCTCCAGAGTCATCCCAGGGTTGTGGCAGAGGAGAGCGGTCCTCGGCCCACCTTCAAGAGCCACAGGTGAGTTTCAGCTGCCCCAGTAGCCTTGAGTAGGCCATAGTGCCCACGTGTCCCTCTGCCATGGGCCATGGGAGGTGGGTTATTTAAAGCCGATGCCGCAGCTCAGTCCGCGTACCTGGAGCCTGCCTGCCTGCCCTTCTGTGCGTTGGAGCTCAGCTCCTCCCTCCCACTCGCTTGCTCCCTGTACCCCTTCCCAAGGCCAAGGCCCTCTGCTGGGCTCCCGGGTGAACTGAGGTGCTCACCTGCAGCACTGCCAAGGCCAGCGCTCTTGGCCCCACTGCCTTCTCCCAGGAGACAGCAGAGCCCGGCACCTGGACGGGCCATCTTGCTGCTGCCTGTCTGCCAGCAGGAGCCAGCTCCTTGGGAACACCAAGAGTTTAGTTACAGTGGGTGCTGGTGCCTGGCTGTAGGGACCACCACAAGATCCATGAGGGCGGCCAGGGAAGGTGGGGTGCTGCTGCCTGGGCCGGCAGGAGTCACAGCTCCCCCGGGCGCTGGGCAGCGCTATCTCAGGAGACTTGGCCCTCTGTCCCCCCGACCCCCGTGTCCTGTGACTCCTGTGCCTGTTCTCAGCACCAGCCAAGGCCAGGCTGCAGCCCTGGGGTGGGTAGGCTGTGGCAGAGCCAGGCAGAGAGCCCTGTGGGATAGCGCTTGCACTGGGAGGCAGGCTGTGCGGGCTGAGAGGAAGGAGTGGGGAGGTGGCCGGGCCTGGCCCCAGGCCCAGGGCTCCTGACCTGGGGTTCATCGCAACTTTGTAGGGGCCACGCTAGCCTTGGCTGGCTCCCTGGCCCTCCAGCAGGAGGACTGAGGTTGGAACTCAGGGTCTATGCCCTGCCCTCACCGCTCCCTGCCCCCGTCTTCAGAGCCTTGCCCTGAGCCCCCACCAGGAGCACCTCCCTGCCTTGGACTGTCCCAGGGCTTCCCCAAGACACTGGTGCTGTGGTTCTGAGGATGGACATTTATTGGCACACCTTGGCGTGCGCATCGAGTACATGTGCAGATGTCCCTGCCCAGGGGCTCACAATCTAAACAAGACACGGCACACACAGAACACACATAAGACGTGGGGGCGGGCATCTTCACAGTGACAGGAGGGCAGACAGCACATCATCCTCGTCCTTCTGGAGAAGGGACGCAGGGAAAGGAGGCCCCGAAGCAGTGGCCTTGGGGATGAGGCCTGCACTGGAGGACTGGAGGTGGAGTGGGGCAGCTCTGCCTGCGGGCTGTGGCCCAAGCACTGGGACAGAGATGGCCGGAGGAGCTGCAGCCCGAGGCTACGCACCTGACCCAGGCTCCACGATGGCCCTTTCTCCTGTGCCAGGAGCAGACCCAGAGCCTCCTGCACACTGCGCTAGCTCACCAGACAGCGCTGCAGTCCACCTAACCCAGGACACCCTGGGGGGAGGGGCGTGGCTGCTGGGAGGAGAGGCCCGAGCCCGCCCTCGCTCCAGAGAGTGCGAGCGTGGCCATCGGGTACACGTGGGCCCGAGGTGCACCTGTCCCTTGGGAGGGACCCTGAGCTGCCAGGCCCTGCCCCAGGCCGGGGAAGGCAGGATGTTTATTGCTCTCTAGGGAAGGAAATGGCTCACCCAGCCGGCCAGAGGCAGAGGGGACCTGGCCCAGCTGGAACCTGAAGGATCTGCTCTCTGTGGGGGGCGGGGGACTCTCCTGGGCCTGAAGAGGTGGACAAAGTAGGGTGGAGGGGCCACAGGCCTGCCCCCCAAGCCCAGGCTACTCCATCCTGTTTCTGTGGGGTCCTGAACAGCAGTTTTGCAGGCAGGGTAGGGGGCAGCCAGCTAGCCAGTCGGGGGTTGGGACAGCGGCAGGGTCCCCTGAGAGCTGAGGAGCCCCCACTCCAGGCCTGCTGCGTGTTCCAGGGAGGGGCCAGGCCGCCAGTGACGCCTGGTCCCGGGGCAGCCAGGTGCAGGCAGGAGGCTGGCTGGGGTCCCCACTGCTCTCCCAGCTGCTGACTCCCCGGTAACAGGATGGGGCCCACAGAGGAAACAGCCAATGCCCTACTTTTCACGATCCTTTATTAATCAGAACAGGCCTCACCCGGAACAGCAGGGCCCATTCCCACAAAAATATGATTTTTGCAAAGAGGAAATTCTGCTGGCTTACAGGATGTGTGTGGTGGAAAACTTTTGTGTGGTTCTTTTTTCATTTCTTCGCTTTCTCTCTTCATTTCTCTTCACTGCAAAAACTTTTTTGTGACAGTGGGTTTTTGTCTTATTTTTTATAAAACACTTGCACTCAAAGACTCAAACACGACACAAACTGCAGCCACCATTCCCCACCCGGGGGGGGGGGCGGGCGCCCTGTGGCTTTTGTGTGGCTTTTTCCTTTGTCCCTAACCCAGGCTCTGGAGCCAGAGGGCAGTGGAAGTCCTGGGGCAGGTGGGGAGATGTCCACAGAGAGCTGAGCCAAGTCGAGACTAGGTCTAGGGTGCCCACAGATGAGGCAGATGACACTCATGACAGGGCCCGGGACACAGTGAGAAGAAAGGGGCCCTGGCCTCCGAGTCCTACGGCAGGGACAGCAGGCAGGCGGAGTGCTTAGGCTACCGTAATAATACTTAGCTCCCGGTAGCACCTTCAGGGTCCTTCTGCCTCGCTAGACCTCCAGGCCAGGCGATGGTGACCTCACAACCTCCCCCATGAGGTAGGTGAAGTATTATTACCATCATTTTGAAGATGGGGAAACTGAGTCGCAGGGAGGGTGGGTGACTTGCCCGAGGTCCTGGGACAGAGGCCGGCTGAGGTGCTCTCCCACCCTCACACCCCCACGCTGGCCTCTGGGTGCCCTAGGCGGCCCCACCCACTCCATGCCACGCTGACTGCCTCTCCTGTTGCCAGGCCCCCGCCCTCTGCCTCCTGGAGCAGCCCGGGTGGGGGGCAGTGGACCCCAGGCCGGCACTTGCACCTGGGTCCTGAGGGGAACCATGCCTCTGCCCTCTGCTGAGACTGCTGGGAGCTGTGGAGCAGGCTGGGGCCGCTCACTCCCGAGGGTCCTGCAAGGCCAAAGCAGACCTCCATGTATGCCCCGCAGCCAGGCAGGCCCGCTCCACGCAAAGCTACATGGGGAAACTGGGTTTGCAAAGATGGTGGTGACAACTGCTTTACATAATCTTGGACATTCTGCAATCTGCGAACATTCACCTGCTGGGGCGCTCTCCCTTCAGATCCTGGGGAGAAAGGGCGGGAAGGCGGGTTCTCGCCCTTCTGTTCCTTCTCTGCCAGGTGCCCGCCTCCTGCAGTGTCCCAGCGCCACCTGGCGGTGTGTTCTAGGGACATCGAGGTGCTCTGTCATCAGAGGACCAGCTTGAGTCCGTCCTGCCATATGCTATCTCAGGGGAACCTGCACCCAGAGCCTCAGCCACTCAGAATCCACAGGTGGGCGGGAGGCAAGGAGGGGCCACCACAGGGACCAGGCAAGGCCAGACAGACGTGAGACCCTGCACCAGGACAGGCAGGCAGGAGCCCCAGCTAGGCGGGGCAGGGGTGGGCCAGGCGGGGAGCCGAGCACAGGTCAGGGAAGTCAGGTCTTGGGAGTAGGAAAGAGCTGTCGGGGCTGGGACCTCTGAGGCAGAAAGGAGTGGGGTCCTGGTGGAACGCTATGCACACAGTAGGTGCCTAAAAGTTGTGAACCGAGTCCAAGAGGTGAAGTTGCCAGGGAGGAGCTGCGGAGGACGCACAGCAGGGGGGTGGCAGCGCCTTCCCTGCCCCTCAGCCCCGCCCCTCAGTAACCCTGCTTCCTGTGCCCCTCGCGCTGCTGACCAGGGACAGGAGCAGTGCCCCCCACACACGCACACACAGTGACACAACATGAAGACGCAGGGCCCAGCTCAGGCTGCTGGGCCGGGCTGCGCACTCTCCTCGGCGTTCAGGGCCCAGTCGGCACCTGAAGCCATCCTGCGGATGGGCAGCTGTGCCAGGCCAGGGCCAAACGCCTTGGCAACCCCTCCCGGGCCGGGAGGGCTGGCTTCTCTCCACTCCAGGCACCGCCGTAAAGAAAACGGGGGGCCGTGCCCACCTGGCGGGCCTCTGGAGGGTGTGCCCGTCTGCTTGTGAGCGCTCTCCGCTGCTCGGCATTGGCAAGCCAGGAAGGCGCGGGCAAAGCAGGGAGATGGCTCCGGAGCCCACCCCTCGGAGCACGGGGTGGGGCGGGACATGTTGGACGGCTCTGGGCTCAGGAGACCCCTTGGCTGAGCCCTCGGCCCCGTCACCCACAGTGGGGGCCAGGCCGGGTGGTGTGCGTAAGGTGGCGAGAGCGCGATGGCCGGCCCGACCCCCGGGCGTCTCTGGGTGCTCAGGCCTTCAGCTGGTGCCACTGGGCCACGGGCTGCCGGGGCCGGGCGATCATGTCCTTCCAGTGCCGCACCTCCCCTGGCCCACTCTTCCAGGACAGGTAGATCTGTGGAGCGAGGGGAGGGGCATCAGCCAGGGCGGCAGCATGCAGCCTGATGTGACTCATTTGTGGCCCATCCGCTTTCCACGCTATGGCATCTGCAGAGCCAGAGCGCCTGCCCTGGGCCACTTGTCCACGACCTATTTTCTGATGGGGTTGGCACTGTGGCAGTCCTGACCAACTTGGGGCTCTGCCTCCAATTAGCAGGTACCACCCTGAGGCACATCCAGTGCTACACGCCTGCCTTCAGGTGCCCAGGTGTGGAGGCTGAGGCACGTGGGTGAGAAGGCCCAGGATCAAGTGCAGGGGCTGAGCTGGGCCACAGGCTCCCCTGGCTGGGCCCTGGGTGGAGCACGCCCATGGGTCCACGAGCCCCACCTCGACCCAGCCTGTGGACTGTGACAGTTGTAGAACCCTGGGCTCGAGGAGGAGCAGGTACTATGGGACACCCCTAGGTGGCCAGGTTACAGGCTATCATAGGAAAACAGAAACTGTCACAGACCAGAGGGCTTGTGTGACACAGGTGACCTCTGTAGCCTGGGCCAGAGAAGACTGGCTGGGGAGGTATGGCCCTTAGTCCAAGACAGAGCTGCCACAGTGACACAGCAGGCTGGCACGTGGGGAAAACAGGCCAGGCGGCCACAGGAGTGCATCATTACTACTTTGACGTGACACTAACAGTATTCAAATAGAAAGTAAATGAAGTGGAAGGAGCAGTGGGCCCCGCGCTGCCCTTCCGAGGAGGACAGGCCACAGGACGCCCCAGCCTGTGGTCTTCCGGGTCCCCAATGCTGGGGGCTGTCACCCAGGTTCCTCAGTCGAGGGCTGCAGTGCACTCCAATGCCAGCGGTCTTGCCTGCCTTTTGGGCACGGGGTTGGGCTGTCCCCAGGGCTCCTGACCTACCCAAGCCTCAGCACAACCCATGCTCTTCTGCCCTGAAGCTACAGTGCTCGCCTGTTTGAAAAGGAGCTAGCACACTCTGGGAGGTGGAGAGAAGAACTCCAAGTTCCAACCCACCTGGGCAACTTGAAGACTAAGCAAAACCCTATCTCAACAGAAAACAGAAAGAGCTGGCCACATCTCAGAGCAAGTGCCACAGTTCTATCCCCACCAATGAAAACAAAGAAACGGCGACCTCAAGAGTACGTGTAGGCTCTTGAGCTCCAGGGTCTGGGTGGCATGTGCCCACCTGCCTGCCTCCAGTCACAGCCTTTCCCAGGGTCCTGTAGGATTCTGTGTGCTCTCTGCCCCTCTGCTCCTAGCTGTACCCATATCTTAGGACCAACACTTCCTTAGGACTGGGGTACAGTAGGTGTGCACGTGGGCTCCCCAGCAGCCCTTCCCATCTCATCACCCTTCTGCTGTGCAGCTGAATTGTTGCATGGCATGGGGGAGCAGAGAAGGTACCACGGGGAGGAACAGTACTAGGAGGCGGGGCGAGAGGGCTGGGATAGCACAGCCCAGCTCTAAAGGCTCTGGGCTCAAGGCCTAGCAGCACCCCAGAAGAGGCAGGCTGGGACCTGGCCTGGGCACGCTGGCCACCTGGCCCACAGGTGCCTGGAAACCACAGGTGGTCAAGAACAGAACTCCAAGCAGAGAGGTGGCGGCTGCATCACAGCATTGTGCCCCGGGCAAGCCCAGGCCGAGCGTGGGACTGCAGGACTGTGTGCAGGACCAGAACGTGCCCAGCCTGTAGCACCACTCTGCGCCTGGCCCCCAGAAGGTCCTGCAGGCTGGCAGCAGAGCCCTACTTGCCAGAAGGTGCAGGAGAACCCTGAGGAGCCTGGGTCACCTGCTGCTCGGCCCCAGCTCTTGGGTGCCAGCCGGCTCTGGGCACTGCCCCCATGCCGCACCCCTGCCCTACCTTGCCTATGACGTCATTGCGGCTCAGCTTGTCCTTGTCCATGACAGTGATGACAATGGTGGTCTCCCGCAGCTTCTCTGTGGGGATGTCGAAGGCAAAGGACTCATTGAAGATGGGGTTCAGGTTTCTCTTCATGGTTACCGTCTTCTTCTTCTCCACTCGCTTGTCCTTGTACATCAGCCATACCTTCACGTAGGGATCTGGGGAGGAGGGAGGCAGGTCAGGGAGATCTGGGTTGCTCCTGGGGTGGGGTGGGCTGAGGAGACTAAGCAGGACCAGCAGGGCCAGGGCACTTGCAGGTGACAGAGCCAGAAAGGCCCGCTGTCACTGATGCCTCTGCTAACACCTGGGGGAAACAAGGCCGGGACAGTAGTCCTGGCTAAGGTCATGAAAGGGGGGCATCCGACCATCTGGGCCCTAAGCCAGACCTGCCTGACCCACAGTGCTCCCTCCCTCCTGCTCCTGGGGAGGACAGAGCACACAACAGAGCCCAAGTCCCTACCCTGAGCGCCCCGCCCACACCTGATGTGCCCCCGATGTCCATGGCTTTGAGGTTCCGGGCTTTGATGATGTTCACGATGATGGAGTTGGCAGAGGGGTTGTAGCAGAGAGACAAGAGCAGCTCCCCCCGGCTCCCCTGGGGACAACAGCACAGTCAGAATGGGTGGGGCACCAGGGACTCAGGACAGCTGCTCCACCCCGGAAGGCCACCACCGTCCAGCTGCCACCCCTCTGGCAGGTCCGGGCCCTGTCCCTGGGACCCCCACTCCCAAGCAGAGCCCAGGAAGCCTACACTCCCATCGCTGCATGGCTTCAGGTCCTTCCAGAATGTCTGCATCTGTGTCAGGTCCACCTTGTTGAGGGGGATGGACACCTCCCCGATGGGGTCATTGCGGCTGAAGCGGTCATAGTCCAGGACCTGGAGGTAGAGGACCCTCTGCACCACCTTCTCGTAGGGGAAACCTGGGGGCAGAGAGGCGAGGTGAGGGGGCCATGGCCAGCAGCCGGCCTTCTGGAGTGACTCACAGGACCCCCGCCGTTGAGCACCGTCAGGAGTAGGGGTCTATGCAAGGGATGGGGAGGCCAAGCCGTGTTAGGCTAGCGAAGCGCACCTGCCCCCAGCCCACTGCAGGGCTCTGCATCTAGGGCCAGGGCTGGCCAGGGACAGACAGAGACCATGGGGACAGGGCAGGCGCTGCGGGAGGGACACAGCCAAGGAGGGAAGCAAGGCCACACACAGCACCAGCCTCCTTTCCCTAGGGCCTCCTTCTCGGGTGCCAGCCCAACTGTTCTCCCTGCTGCCTCCCCTGTGCCCACTGTCTGCCCTGTCTAGGCCACCACAGATGCCACAGATCCCCACACCCCTGCCACTTCCTCCTGCCCCAGGGCTTGGGCTTCGTGCAGCTGCCAAGGTGGGTCTTGCACACAGCCAGGACCAGGCAACCTTGGCTCCAGGCATTGCCGCAGCTCTGAGAGCTGGGAGTAGCAGGCCACGCTGCCTGCCTGGCTCAGGGTCCTATCCCGGTGCAGCAGGATTAGAGTCTTCCTGCCCAGGGACAGGCTTGTCCCTGTGTCCTTGACCGTGGCCTGCTTGCCCACCAGGCTGGAATTTCCGGCAGGGCAGCATCTGTGGGCTCAGTCCCAGCTCCTGACTGGGGTGGGGAGAGGCACACAGGGCTGCCTAGGGATGAGCAGCAGAGGAGAGCTCTGGAAGGCTTCAGGGTCACTTCCCACTACGGAAGGGGCCATGGGGCCTCCAAAGGATCTAGCCCAGGTCAGAAGGGGACAAAGGACCTGGGAAGACTGGCAGTGCTGAGATGCCCAGCCCCGAATCAGCACTCCCCAGCCCCGGAGCAGAGAGTCTCCTGTGGGGCTCATACTCGCCCCTCAGAACCTATCTTGCCTGTCATCAGGAACTCCCCTTTGGCAGCACAGAGGGAAGCTCATCTTGGCCCCTAGAGCACCGGCCTTGGGCATGGCTTAGCTGCCAATGCGCCTCCATTCTCCCCAGACAGGGGACCCCTCCAGGCCCACTGCAGCCCCTCCTCTTCCGCTGAGCGCAGGACCCAGCGCCTGGTCTGTGCCTGGTGGAAGGGGCTCTACCAGCTGGTTGCACACACCTCTGACGGCAGGTGTCCTACCAGCTGTGCTATCCCTCCCAGGTGTTGGGGGCAGCAGCAGGACTGCTGGCCGGGCCGCGGCTCCACCCCCTGCGGGCTTGGGAGAATCCGCTTCTGACCTCGTGCCCCAATCTGTCACCTGAGGCTCAGGCCCGTGGCTGAAGGGCTGGCCTTCAGGGCAGTGGAGGCCCTCCAGCCAGTGATCTCAAGGGTACTGGATTAGCAGGCCAAATGGCACGTGCAAGCCCATATTTTGTGTTTTGTGGTGCTGGGCGCTTAACTCAGAGCTCAGCCTAAACTACATCACAGCCTGCTCTTTTATTGTCTTACTTTTGACACACATTAAGTGGCTAAATTGCCCAGCTGGGCTGGAACTTCTGATCCTCCTGGTAAGCCTTGCATGCATGCCAGTGTGTACACGTGTGTGCAGGGCAGGTGAAGCCTCACCTTCGAAGAGGAAGGTCTCATTCCAGTGGGGGTTGAGGTTCTTCCGCTTCACCTTGGTCTCCAGCTTGTGCTTCTTGTCAGGCAGCAGGTAGATCTTGACAAAGGGGTCGCTGGTGCCACTGAAGTCCTTGGCTGGCAGCTCCTGGGCCTTCAGGATCTTCACGGTGAGTGTGGACTCCTGGAAGTTGTAGCCCACGCTGAACTGGATCCGGCCCAGGTTCTCGCGGCTGCACCCCTCATGGGCCTCATCCTCCTCGGAGCCTGGGGACAGCTGGGAAGGGAAGGGGATGTGTCGGGGGGACTCTGGCTCCTAGGGCCCCTGGGCCAGCAGAGCAGACCCCATGCCCTCTTGGCTGGTGCCGGGGTCCACAGCCAGCAGGGAGGCCCCTGCAGAACCTCCTGGGGACAGAGGCAGGGAGGGGCTGGGCCTGGGGGCCCCACTGTGCAGAGGCAGTGCTGTAGGCTGCTGGGACTCCGCTGCCACAGCCCCACTGCTTCCACCCTCTCCAGCCTGTGGGCCCTTGGTAGGCGCAGTCGGCCCAGACAGGGACGGCTCCTGTGGCACAGGCGTTCAGGCTTCTCTGTGAGGGGTGCGGTTTACATGGGGAGGCAAGTGGGCGTTTGGGCGCCTCACCCAGTCAGCCTTTAGGCCAGGCAGTGCTGGGGCACGGCCCTGTCTGAGGCCACTTGGTGCTACGTGGTACCTAGTGTGGGCCATGGTGGAGGCGGCAGGCCTGGGTGGTCTTGGACAGCCCCTGAGAGGGTGTGCGCACATGCAATGCGGTTTCCACCTGACTTTGCCAGGCAGGAAGCAGCTGGGGCAGGATCCCAGCCGGGGGTGCGACTCTGCAGCCACTCACAGAGGCCCTGCCACCTTCTGGCACCACAAGGTCCCAGCCAGCAAGGAGGGGGACCAGCAGATCCCCGCTGGGACACAAGTCCCTCCCAGCCCTGCGGAAACCGCTCTGCCTTCCTCCGTCCTGCAGAGCAGCCCACGCTCAGGAACCAGGCGCAAGAGCGTAAGGTGCGCCTACCATGGCAGAAGCTTGAGTCACCTCTCCGCCGGCCGGGGGCTGCCACCGCACGCCAGCTGGGGAGGCTGGCTCGGAGAGGTCAGGCTGCGAGTCCAGGGCTGCAGGCCGCACCCAGGGCCACAGCTGGCAAGGACTCATCCGTGCCAGATGACTGCCCCGGCCCGCCTCTGCCTGGGGCACATCCGCCCTGCTGCAGGGGCACCGTGTGGGCTGCCCGTCCTCCCCACGGGGGGCTCTGTCCTCCCCATGGAGGGGAGAGCTCTGTCTTCCCCAAGGAGGGGTCTCTGGCCTCCCCTGGCATCCTGCAGCTCCACCCAGGCCTTCCAGGGCTGATCTCTCCCTGCTCCCTGGAACTCAGTTTTTGCTTCTAGGGGACCCGGGGGATTCAACAGGCCCCACAAAGCCCACTGGCCTCATTCAGTCTAAAACTGGGGTAGAGATGTAAGTGACCCACTGGGGGTCCCTCTGTTTAGTTGGCTCCCCAGGGTGGTATTGTGGAGGGGCTGGGGCTGGCAAGGGGGCTTCCCTTAGGAAGGGGCAGGGCCTGTGGGCCCAGGGAACCAGTTGTCTCCAACGGCAACCACACTAGCCACCCTGCAGACCCTCCAGATAACAAAGCTGCCCAAAGTAGCAGGCCAAACTGGGCCTGACCCTGCTCACTCTCATAATCCCAACTCTCAGCAGGCTGAAGTAGGAGATGAGTCCAGCTTGGAGAACCCAGGCAGACCACACCTCAGAAGGCAAAGAGTGCATGAAGCAGGCCCCCGTGCCAGGCGCAAGAGGCCCCTGCATGCTGGCTCTGCTCTGGGGTCCCAACCTGCTGCCCCAGCTTCTGTGCCTGGGCCTGGAGACCACTACAGCGGGCTCTCCTGGGGCACCCTCACTTCCTGCCTCTGGGTAGGCTGGGGAAGGAGGGAACCAGCCACAGGAAACAACCAACTGGGTGGCAGGCCACGGAGAAGGCGGACTTGGATCTCCTTCAGCTGCCCCCCAATTTTAGATTGAATGGGGCTAGTAGGCTTTGCTGGGCCCACTGAATTGACTAGGTCCACAGAAACAAAAGCAGGTGCCCCAGGCCACGAGAAGAGCAGGTGCTTTCACCCGAATCCAGAAGTGCAGACTAAGTCCCACGGCCTTGGCCTGGACTCCTGCACCCTACCCTGCTGCTTAGGACTAGACTGTGTGTGAGAATCATGTGGCAAGCACCTGGAGGCCTGAGGATCTCAGGAGGGTGGAGGGCTGGACTCGGGAATCCTGAACCAAGTCAGGACTACAGCTGGTGGGGTCCCCAAGCCCACTGTCTGAAGGTGCCCTCCTGGAGGTCCTCGTGAGCCTTCCCAGATCCCTGCATCACCAGAGCCTTGGCTCCTGCTCATGCCTGGCCCAGGGTCCCTGCAGAGCAGTTGGGTGCAGGGCTGTGATGCACTGCTGCCACTAGGGGGTGCGACGAGACCCACCAGCTGTCCTGCGAAGCCGCCGCAGGGCATTGGGATCAGGATCAGGTGGCAGGGCCAGGCAGAGGCCCTCCAGCCACGGAGCAGGGGGAGTGGTTAGAGAGGAGAGCTCTTGGCCTGGCCAGGAGCTCCACCTTCTTGCTGTCCGCCCCTGTTCACAGCTGTCCTGTGGGGGCAGGTGTTCTGAGCCCCCTTCCCTACCAGAAGGGGATGGGAGAAAGATGACATTCTTATTCTCACTTTGTAAGTGGGAAGACTGAGGCATAGGGAGGACCCCCGGCCCCACTCACTCAGGCAGCAAGCACCAAGCAGTCCTTGCACCTTGCCTGGTTCTCTACTGGCATAGGCCACACGTGCTGCCCACCCGCCTGCCCAGCTCACCATGAGCATCTCGCTGGTGAGGGAGTTCACAAGGTCTGAGACGGAGGAGCGGGGCTCGGTCCTGCGGTCAGACTCATCATGGGGTGTCTGGCCTGGCACCAGTGCTGTGTCCACTGCCTTCCCTCCTGCAGGCAACCTGGGGAGGGGAAAGAGGGGGCTCCAGGCGGCTACAAGTCATAGGGGCCTGGGTGGGTGCGCGGCAGAGCCCTCATCCGCAGGCCTGGTTCTCCCGGAAGCGGGGGCAGGGCGCAGGCCCAGAGCCCATGTGCCTCGGCCAGGTGCTGCTTCGGCTGCTGCTGTGCGCTCTGCTCTGGGGAACCCTGCTCCCTGCAATCCAACTCATGGGTCAGTTGGTCTCTGAGCTGATCCCATGCAGAGCCAGGGACAGTTCCAGGGGTGCTCTCACCCTCTACCTGCAGAGCCCTGAGGTGCCTTCCAGCTCCCCAGACCAGGCTGCTGGGATGGCTATCCACATCACCTGCCCACAGGGCCCCTGCAGGGATGGCGTGTCCTTTGTCCGACAGCACTGGCAGTGAGTGTGGCCACTGTGACCAAGACCTGAATTTGTCATTTTTTTCTCCACGCTGCTAAGCTACAATCTCCTCTGACAGTCTATCTCTTGTGACAGTGTCTAAACTGCCCAGGCTGGCCTGACACCTGCACCCTTGCCCAGGCCTCCAGGTACCTGGGTCACAGGTATGCACCTGCATAACCTGATATCCTGCAAATTGGGCTGGGCTAGTGGCCACCTCCTGGACACAGCAAGCCAGAACCCCATGTTCACCGGTCCCCACCCTCTCCCTTAGGGGGCTGCATGTAGGATGAGCCCCCACCCAGGTGGGCAGATGGGGCTCCCAGTAGCCCAGTCTGTACCCTGCTCTAAGCCATTCCCAGGAGGCTGGGATCACTGACCATCCAGGGCCCAGGAAGGGCACTAAAGCCTGCCTGGAGACCAGGCTGACATGCCCAGTGAGGAGAGGTGGGTGGGTGGTGGGCAGGGGTGGGGTGGCAGCATGGGCTGGTGCAGGCTGCGACAGGACAGCTTGGGGAGGACACAACCATACCCAGTGCCACTCAGCTGACACGAGGCACGGCTGCAGGGACAGACCTGGTCAGTACACAGGCACAGACAGACATGCACGGATACCCTGGGACGCTGGGACCCAGTGGCAGGTGTGCCCACACAGACACACGCACATGGTGCACACAGCCCAAGGCACCAGGGGAACACAGAGAAGGCATGGGCAACAGCAGGACACAGCAGGCGTGACGGCGCCGCGCACCAAGGGAAACCTGTGCGGGAGTCCCAGCGTGCCCAGGTATGTGCGTGAACTGGGACAACTGAAAGGGAAAAGCAGATGGCAACTTCAGGGACAGACATCCTGCGCCAGGGCACACGACGCGCCCACCACAGGCACGCAGCCCAGGCTGACACACAGGGACTCCCGCTGCCACACACCTGGACACACACTCGTGGACACGTGTTCACGAGGACAGGCATGGGAGGGAGGAGGAGGAGACCGAGAGAGCTGGAGAGGTAAAGTCAGGTTAAAAACAGAGCGAGAGCAGGAGAGTCGGAGTTGTTCGGGCCAAGCTGCAGCGCCAGCACAGCAGCAAGGCAGCCCAGGGAAGATGGTCAGTGCCACGGAAGCTGTCGGAGGCCATGGGACAGAGACAGAGAGACCGAGGCGTGGGGACAGGCAGAGGGAGAGGCCAGGGGCTGTCACTGGCCCAGGGATACCCTGTGAGGAGCAGATGGGAAGGAGAAACAGAGGAAGAGATGAGAGAGAGAGCGCGCAAAGAAGGTTAACCAGAGTCAAGAGGCGGAGGCTGTGGTGGACGGGACGAGGAGCCAGGCGGCCACAGGAGGAGCCAGGGACACACGCAGGCGGAGGAGGGGCATGGTGGCTTCGGAGGCCTCGAGCAATGGGTGGCTTGGCACCCAGGGTGGGTGGGGCCACAGTGGAAACCATTCGGATACTGAGAAGCGATGGAGAAAGGATGGTGGGGTGTGTAGCAGGGTGGTGCAGGGTGGGGGGCAGGCAGGGCTCTGGGCAGTGGCCAAGGACAGGAGGCTCTATGCTGAGGTCCAGGCTGGGGCCCACCTGTTCATGCCTGCTGGTTGCAGCTCTCCCATGCCCTGTACCTGAGGCCTGGGGTGGCTGGCAGGGCACAGCCTGAGGTCAAGGGCACTGAGTTCTGTGCTGGGCTTAGGGGCTGAGGGGCCAGTGAACACTCTTCTGCCTTGTCTGGGACCTGGGATGGCCAGGAGCAGGACCACAGCACTCAGATCCTGAGCTCTAGAGTTCAATGCTGAGGCCCAAGGCCACCAAGCACCATGGGGTGGGGAGGCAGGGACTGTCCCTCTGCCCTGGCCTGCTGGGTGGATCCTTGCCTTGCCTGGCATGGGGCCAGCTGCCCCCACACAGCTCTGTCCCCGTGAGCGTGTTGCCAGTGGACAAAGTGGGGCTGTGTCCCCTCTGTGACAGTCCCAGCAGGGCACAGGACAGATGCAAGGTGGGGCCCAGGGCCTGAGGCGGACATGCTGAGCCACAGGATGGAGTTCACCTGCTTGAGGAAGCCCAGGGGACACTAGGGCCATGGGAAATGAGTGCTTGGGGGCGACTCTGGGTGGTGAGGACACAAGGGTGCCCTGGAGCAGGCTGGGTGGGTGGGCAGTGATGAGGTGGTGGCCAGAGGATGTGCTGGTACCTGTGGAACTGTACCTCAGATGAGGAGGCAGACGCTACAGGAGTGAGATGGTATAGGCGGGGCAGCACGTGGGTGAAGAGAAATCTGTTTCAGATCTGCTCCCTCATGGCTTGACCTTCCAGGCTGCACCCCACCCTGGCCCCTCCCTGGGGGCCCAGCTCCCCTGCCCGACATGCCGCAGACCCACGCTCAGGGCCAAAAAGCCATCCACGCCCCCCCTCCCTGGGAACCTGGGCACACCTGGGCTTGTCACGGGGCCCAAGGAAGAGAGTGGGAAGGGTCTCAGGGCAACCAGAGACACAGAGCAGCTAGTCTCAGCCTATCTACCTGTCCTCACTGCCAGCCTCTGGGTGGCAGCCTGGGATGTCCCCAAAGGCTCTTAGGGAGCACCAAAGTTACCCTCCAAGTAAAGTCCCTGCTTAGCTCCTTTGTGGAGGGGCTGCTCCTACAGCTCAGCCAGTGGCCACCTGGCTAACAGCTGAATGGGGTTATGACCAGCCCGGACTTACATAGGGTCCCTGTGGGGCTGACCAAGGGAATAGCCCTCCCCCATTCCCTGGGGACCCCTCCAGGGGGGAGGCAGCTGGGCCCAGTACAGGACGGCTGCTCCTCTGTGGTACCTCCCTTGCCATCCACGGCAGCCCACTCTCTCAGCTTGGCGGTGGCCACGCAGTCCACCCTGTGCCCTGCTCCCCACAGGACTCTGGGTCCTGGGGCCCTCCCAGACCTTCCTCAGGGGGCTTCTCCCCCAGGGTATAGGGAGGTTGGGGTGGTGGGGATGAGGGAGCATGGGCTGGTGCCCCTCCCTGACATCCCCCCAGCCACCAACCACCGAGAAACAGGAATTTCCAGGTTCGGTGGACAGCGATGAGATGGACAGCAAAGAGAAGCCAAGCGGGAGATGGCACGGGGAGGCTAGGCTTGCTCCAGGCTAGGGCAAGCGTGCGGGGAGCAGGCCTGATCCAGAATGGTCCCAGGATGGATGCCCGGGCCAGGCGGTCCTCCTGCTCCAGCATCGCTGAAGGCGGCGCCGTCCGGCCCAGCGGCTGGCAGGTAGAGGGGCCACCTGTCCACGCCTCCTTCTCCGCTGCTGTTGCCGCTGCCGCTGCAGGCCTCGCCTGAGCTCGTACCTCTTGTCCCCCTGAGCGTTCTGGTTCTGCTGGGTTCCTTGGTTTTGCAGGTCAGGGATATTGGCAAAGTCATCCTGTTCCGAAAGCCCTAAGACCAAGGATAGCACCACCATCCGGCCTTCCCTGCCCAGCGAGGCCCAGCAGCAGCGCAGGGGGAAGGCCGCGTGGGCGGGGTGGGGAGGGGGACAGAGACAGAAAAGAGAGAGAAGAGAAAAGCGTGAGAAACGGGCCCTGCAGGAGAGAAACCAAACTTCAGCAGTGTCAACAGCTGCAGAAGGAGGGGAAGGGCAGGGAGGGACAGCAGCCTGAGAGTCCCCGAGAGGGTCCAGCTGCCATGGCCCTGCAGGAGGCGCACAGCTGCTGGGCTCCTGGGAAGCTGTGCACTACACCTGCTGCTCTCTGCACTTGGAAGCCCACTGCGCTGCCTGTCATGGAGCCAGATGCCTTAGAAGCAGCAGGGCTCCTCCTACTAGAGGTGCCGGGGCAGTGTGCATCCCTTCCCACGCAGGTAGGCAACGGTGGCCCTCTCAGTGTGTCCCTCCTGCACATCCGAGAGTGACTGCCAGGCCCCCACGTCTGTTCAGCGCCTCTCATCAGAGACACAGTTCTCTGGGGGAAGGGAGCAGTGGGTGGAAGTGAGGCCTTCAGCAGGGCCAAAGAAGCCAGGGTGGAACTGCTGAGGGAGGACTGAAGCCAGGGCGTTGGGCGCACACGTGTGGTGGCAGCACGGCGCGGGGGCCACGCGCATTCTCCGAGGACTGCTGTGGTCAGTGATCTTCCTGGGAGCGCTTCAGGCACTTTGTGAGGCTTGGCCAGTGTCAGGATCCAGAGGAGGGCTTAGGGGATGACACGAGGCTGGGGCTACAGGGCTGGCTGGCCTTTCCTGGGGGACTGTCAGCAGGGGCCTCGACGGGCAAGAAACGGCTGCAGGTGGGGGTGAGAACCAGGGTCCACGCAAGGGGAGGGAGTGACTGCAGCTCACTCTGTGTCTCTGTCCTGGGACAGCCGTGCCAGGCTGACGCTGGTGCTGTCTCCGCTGCGCCAGTACCACACGTGAGTTGGTAAAATCCCACCTGGCTGAGGGGGCAGCCAGACCAAGCCAGCATGTTTTCCCCTGGTTGCTGCATTTTGGAGACACACCTTTTGCTTTTCCTAAAAAAAATGGAGTGGCTGCTCAGCCTTGAGACCCATTTGTCATTCCACCAGGGCCAGGAGCCCATGGCATGGGAAATGGCCGGGCTGAGCAGAGCATGGGGCTCGGCCAGGGCTGGGTCCTCTGGAGGGGCTCAGGTGAGCTGGTGGCTGCAGCAGGGGCAGGCACACCCCTGGGCCTCGCCTGTTTTAAAGGACTAGTTAAAAGGTCATGTGATGAGAACCATAAGTGGCCTGAAAGCCTGAAATGTCTCTGACCGGGCCTTTGCAGGGGAGCCACTGGCCCACGTCGGATGAGGTGGGACCAGCAGGTAGGAGCCCTGGGCACAGGATGCTAGCCCTCGTGTGGTGCCCGTCAGACCTGGTTCACCTGGACACCTCCTAGAGCCAGGATGGGCTCACGTGGCCAGGGCTAGAAGCAGCCCAATGCCAGGGTGCCTATCAGGCCGGCGGCTGTGTCCATGCCAGGGTAGCAGCCAGCAGTCTCTCCTGGGCGGCTACTGCTTGCATGGCGGGGGCTCAGCTGGGCATCCGGTTGGGCAGGTGCTGGCTGGCCTGCTGGCCCCACTTGCAAGGAGCAGCCCACAGCACGTGCCTGGGGCCTGTGTGGCGCAGGCAGCTGGCCTTCTTTCTCATGGAGATTTTCCTGGGCAGCCCTTCTGTCCGCCCCCAAAGCTCAGGCAGGGCTCTCAGCAGGACACACAGGCTTCTTCAAGGAAGAGTTCGCCTTCTTAGCCCCTGCATCTAGTCCACGAGCTTGGTGCTGGTCTTGGGCTTCCCCTCTTCCTAGCTTTCTCCCAGCCTCATGCTGTTGGTGTCCTGAGAAGTGCACCCCAGAAGGCCCGGGTGCTGGGAGAGCCCCGAGCCTGGAAGGAAGTTCACGTTATGTGGAGGTGACGGCGATGCAGGGGCCGCAGCCCACAGCCACGTGGGGCCGAGAGCCAGTGCTGATGCCTGGAAAGGCACTGGGCTTCCTGGCAAGGCTGGGGGCAAGAGGCTGGGGCAGTGGCAAAGGTTAGACAGCCTCTGACGACTTGGAAGAAGCCTCTGATTCACAAAGGACACACCTGGAAGCTTTGGGGGAGCAACCTCCAGGGATGTTCGGGAGGAGAGGGCTGGAGGACAGGTGGCTCCACAGGTCAGAGGCAGGGACAGGAAAGGAGAGGAGGAAGTACAGGCCGCTGCCCACCCAGGTTGCAGAGAACAGCGAGGGAAGGAGGGAGGGAGGGAGAGAGGGAAAAGGGCAGGGCCTTGAGAAGGGGTGCAGACAGTTTGAAAGGGCAGGATGGGGGCCAGGCTGGTCAGGAGGGTCACCTCTCTGGGGCCACTATAGCCCTGTCAGGGGGGGCTCAGAGGGCTCTTCCACATAGGTGCTCAGACGTGGGCAATGGGCACTCAGGAGGGGCCTGCCTGTGCCTGCTGGATAGTGGAGGGCAGCGGGCGTAGGCCAGCTGGCCCGGGACACACGGGGCGGGGGAGGGGCAGCGTGGCCCGGGACACAGGGGCGGGGCG